CCTGGCCGCGGGCCCGCGCCCCACGTGCGGCCTGGCGTCCGTGTCCCGCGGCCTTTCTTCTGAGGCGCGCCGGGTGGGGACTGGGCCGAGGGGTCCGGGGTCCCCGGGCGCGGGCGGGTCCCGGAGCGGAAGCCTTCACGGAACGGCTGACGTTGCCGAGCCTTTCGCGCCAGCACTGTGCCGGAGGCCGGTTTCGGCCGCTGGTCACCCTCGCGTAGACCCGGAGGCGGCTTCCATCGTGCGCCGTGTTCGGAGGCGGGGACGTGTAGGCTCCCGGGGACCCGGTCCTGCCAGACGCGCAGCTGCCTGCGCTCCTGGCAGCTGGGAAGGGGCTCTGCTGCCGTCTTTCATGTGAAAACAAGTCCTTTTCTCCGTGCGGGTGTCCCAGTGGCAGCCTGCTCGTGTGCAGCGTCGCCTCCTGTGAGCCCGCCGCCAGGCCCGGGGAGCGGAGGTAGTGTCCGGCCGCCGAGGGAGAGGGAGAGCGAGGGTGAGGGATGTGCGCCGTGCGCTGGCTCTGCTCGTGCTGGGCACGCGTGCCTATCGCAGGTCCTCCTCGCAAAGACAGTTTTTAGTGGGTCCAAGCCTGTAACAACACCTCGTTTATAATGGGCAGGGGGACGCGTTTGTTTAACGGGCGGTAGTAGGAGTTGGTTTGTTTTTCTGGGGACCGTCTCGGCCGAAGTAGCATTTGAGTGGACAGTGGAGGCGACAACATTTCAGACGGGGAACTACTTGTGCAAAAGCTGGGGGACGGGAGGCTGGAGCATTCTGTGAACGAATAGGTCGGTGCTGCTGGAGTGCAAGGCGTAAGAGTCTGGAAAAGAGGCTGCAGGGCTAGTTGGGGCAAGTTCTTCCAGGGGCTTGTATGCAGCAGAAAGTTGATAATTTATCCCGTGACGTGGGGGGAGGGGCGTTGGAGTTCCAGCCAGAGGGTTTGTGATCAAGGACACCAGTTAAAAGCATCCCCTGCAGCCATGTGGAGCTGAATTGGTTAGGGACTTGAGACTTCAAGCAGGAAGAGATTTAAAGCTCTTTGGTGTAGTGTTTTGGGATGGAGAGTAGAAATAATTAGCAGGCACAAACAGCCTTGATGCATTAGAATGGAGGCAAGAGACCTGGAGGAACGGGGTGGATCCCAGGTTTCAGGCTGGGGTAACTGGTTCCTTACATATGCTTCACCTGTCAGCTGGTTTAGGAGGGAGGAGACATTTGAATTGTGGAGTTTGAGGTGGTTTTGGCACAGTGAGAGAGATGCTCTCTAGGTAGTTGGTCGGCCCCAGATTGGGTAAGAGCTGGAGTCAGCTTGGGAGTCTTCAGTTCATTGGCAGTGAGCTTGTTCAGGGAGGCTGTGAATATTAAGAAGGGCAGGACTTGCAGAGGGCGCATGGAGAACCTCAACATTTAAGAAGCAGATAGGAAAAGCAGCCTGAAGGCGGAAGGAGAAGCAGACATGGGGGTGGGGGTGGGGGTGGGGACTGGAACTGGTGGAAGGTCGGAACAGAAAGTAGATTAGGAGGCGATGGAGAACAGTAGACTTAGGCTGGAGTTGCAAAAAGATCAAGTGGGCTGGATTAGAGGACAGCAGACGCTGACCCACTGGACCTGCTGGTCCACTCGCTCATTGACTACTGATGGGTGGAAGAGATAAGAGGGAAAGTGACTGCCCAAGGCAGTTCTTCAGCTCTAGCTGTTTTAGGCCTGTGTAGTCCCAAAGTTGCTACATCTTTTGTTTTTTCAGATAGGGCTGGAACCTACATTTTTATGTGAAATCTTCTGTTTTTAAAAGCTGGCAACTATGCCCTGGCCGGGTAGCTCAGTTGGTTGGAGCATTGTCCCAGTGTGCCAAGGTTGTGGGTTTGATCCCTGGTCAGGGCACATACAACAGTCAACCAATGTATGCATCAGTAAGTGGAACAACAGGTCCATGTTTCTCTCTCCCCTTCTCCCTTTCTCGCTCTCTCTCACTCTCCCTCTCCTACCCTTACCCTGTCTGCCTCCCTCTCCCTTTCTCTCTTTCTAAAATCAATAACCAAAACATTTTTTTGTTGTTAATCCTCACCAGAGGATATTTTTTCTATTGCTTTTCAGAGAGAGTGGAAGGGCAGAAGGGAGGGGAGAGAGAGAGAAAGAGAGAAACATTGATGTGAGAGAGACACATTGATTGGTTGCCTCCCTCACATGCCCAGACTGGGGGCAGGGATCGAACCCCAAACCCCTTGGTGCTCATCCCAACGCTCTAATCAATGAGCACCCCAGCCAGGGAAATAATGAAAGCATTTTAAAAAAGAAAAGCTGACACCTACTTTGAAATATGAAGTTTGTAGGCCAGGCAGAATTAATTTGTGGGGAGGTATAGCCTCTGTCCACGAGCCTCCCACCCTTTTTAAATGGTGTTTGAATATGAAATGGAGGGGAGAGGGTAGCCAGAGGAAATTCAGATGTAAAGGAGAGAGGCACCAGTGAGCCCCTCTCTACTTGATGTTCCTTTGGGGAAACTCTTTCTCCTGAATTCTAGGTACGATGTTTAAGCCATTGCAGAGATGCTAGAGCAGAAGGGGTGACACAGATAGGACGGGCACCTTTTGTTTTTCTCAGTATCTGGGGAAAGAGAAAGATGATTGCACACGCAAATAAGTTTGTCAGTAACACCCCCATTCCCAGCCCCCAGTGAGTGTTAGGGGCTGAGCAGGTTTGAGGAAGGTGAGGATGTCTGGGAGTGGCTAATGAGAGAACCAGAGGGGGCCCACCTGGACACTTGGGAACAAGGCTTCTCAGTTTCAGTGCTGCTGATATTTTGGGCCTTATATACTGTGTTGTGGGGGCCTGTCCTGTGCATTATAGCTGTTCAGTGGAATCCCTGGTCTCTACCCACTAGATACTAATAACACACACCCTTTTTTCAGTCAACCAAAAATGTCTCCAGACATTGTCAGATGTCCCTTTGGGGAGAGAGGCAGGATCACTTGATTCCTCCCACACCCCACCTAGTAGGAGCAGAGAAGGTGAACTAAGGTTAAACCAGATTTGCTGGGAGGTGGGGGTGGGGCACTGGGGGTGGTACAGTGGAAGGGGGTCTGGGAGGGTGTAAGGTTGAAAAGGCAAGGACAGCAGTATTGTTGACGGAATGCACTATAAATCTAGGCTGGATGGAGGAGGAAGTCACTTTAGGTTGGCCTAAGGACTGCTGAGCTCGGGTCCCTGACAGACCTTGCCTCATCGAGCAAGGCAGCTGTGTATCCGTGATACACGTCTAGTAAAAACATGTCCCTCTTAGGGTCATAAGGATCAAAGGAATTAATATATATGAAGCACTTAGAGTAGTGCCTGGCACACAGGAATGTTAGCTATTATTATCATTAGTCTTTTTAGTTGTGAGTGACAGAAAATGAACTCATAGGATTACCAAAAAAAGGAAAACCTAGAATTGGGAAGGAATAGTTTCCCAAAGGATCATCAGGAAGCTCACAATTTAAAAATATAGCAACTTGTGTGCATTCTAGAGCTTCCCTCTCACATGGGTTATTTTGGTCAGTGTTTCACATGACTGCATATGTAACTGCCGAATTCCTGTTACTGAAAAGCCCCAGACACCCCATTGTGTGGGTGTACTATGGCTTGACTAACCAGTCCCTGGTAGTGAACATCTTAGGTTGTTTACAGTCTCCTGCTATTAAAGCAGACCGGGCCCTCTGGGTCTCTGGAATTCTAGCTAGCCCTGGTAGTTCGGTCAGGGAGGCAGTACCTTAAAATTGGTGCTAAGTGAATCCCTTCCAGCTGGACCTACTCCCAGGTGGTGAGCCCTGCCTTTTTTCCAGCCTCACTTTTATGCCTCCTTTGGGGATCAGGAGTGTCTGGATTACAATCTCTTTATATTCTTGGAGCTTCTCCTCTTATCATGGAGCCCATTCTCTTATCATGGAGCCCAGCATGGAATATACCTGTGGTGGGTCTTGGGCTTTCAGCATGTGCGTGTTGAATGACTGCTGGACTGGAGGAGTCAGCGTGCACCTCCTGCAGAAGGGTCCCCCTGTGCAGTGCAATGAACTGTTGATGGATTGAATTCCAAATGCTCCTTAAGGTGACTGCTGTCCCGCAGCCTCAGGGCTCCCCTATAGCACAGGCTGCTCCTAGTGGGTGGAGGCATGCCCCTGGCATTTGGGTGGCAGCTGGTGGGAGATGATTTTGCTTCTGAATTAGTTACTCTAGGATGAGCCATTTCACTCACAGTTGGGGTTCTCAGCAGTTTTCTTTCTTTTTAAAAATGTATATTTTAATTGATTTTAGAGGTTTAGAGAGAAAGGAAGGGAGAGGAGGGAAAAGAGAGAAACATCGATGTGAGAAATACCTGTGGGCCACCCCCTGAACGCACCCCAACCAGGGATCAAATCCGCAATCCGGGCATGTGCCCTGACTGGAAACTAAACTGGAGATCCCTGGTACACAGGGTGATGTTCAACCAACTGAGCCACACTGGCCAGGGCTCAGCAGTTCTCTTAATACCTCTCATCCTGCAGCCTACTTGGAATGCCCACACACCTTGCTTTTATTAAACAAATCTATGGCAGTAGTGTTATTTGTCTTGCCCAAGTGCCAGCTAAATAAACCACCTTGGTCCCAGGGGTAGCCATTCTCAGTGCCCTGATGGGGCTATCATGGTCCTGAGAAGCAGCGAAGGGGTTCTGTGAGTTTCTCCCTCCCCATGCCTGCTCAGGCCCCTGGCCACTCCTTGGAGCATTGGCATCAGCAGACCTGGACAGTTGCTTTGGCCCAGTCAGACCCAGCTGCTGTGCTCTGGGGGCCGTGTTCTTTGGAGCTCCTCCAGGTTCTGAAGTATCTGGGCAGCCTGAGATTACGTGTTGGGGGACCCATTTGTTTCAGAACTGGAATGGCCACCTCCTGGAGTCAGCAATATGTTCAGCTACTGGCCAAACTGCATAGCAAAGATGAATCATTCACTCATTTAGTAAATAAATGTGCCAATGACTGCTATAGGTCCTGGAAGGTGAGTAAGATGGACCTTCTACCTTAGGGAGCTGGTAACTTAGTGACAAGAAAGTCAGGGAAACTAGTTCTCAAAGACATCCTACCTTTATCAAGGAACTGAAGACTTTATTGTGAGGGATGTCTGGGCCCTGGAGTCATGCAGACCTGGGACTGAATTATTGTTTCTGTCGTTTTCTAGCTTTGTGGCCTGGCAGGTTTCTTCACTTGTAAAGTGGTGAGTAACAGGACCAACCTCAACTGTTCTGAGGATAAGAGAAGGCATGATTGGAAAACGCTCTGCATGGTGTCCAGTTCACAGTAAGCTCTTTAAGAAGGCAGCTGTGACTGTTGTTGCTGTTATTTGGGGTTATAGCAAATATAACTCGAGTGAGTCCTCATGATACAAATAACAAAGAAACACTCACACTTTGTAGATCTTCCAGCTTGCTTGGCCTTGGGAAAGGATTTGGCACATAACAGCCTCACAGAAGTTTCTTTTTCTTTCTCTGGAAAAGCTGGTGCCTGTAGATAGTCTTTTTCACCTGGCCTTTGGAGGCCAGGGGCTGGAACTTCCGGTGAGCTGGGCCTGCTGCTGTTCTCTGCCCTTAGGTCCATCACCTGTGGAGTGCTGATGCCTTTGAGGTGTCAACCTTGACCTTGTAGTGAACTGAAACCTCTTGAAGCTTAAATGGTGGGGGATTATTTTAGATGACTCACACCTTCTTAATCAGGTTTTCTGATAATCACTGCTTTAAATAATTTATTTCATGAGTAACTTATGTTGTGCTTATGGCTAAGGCATTGTACTAAGCTCTGCTGGGATATATGGCTTCTAGCTTTAAGAATTTTATTCCCTATACATATAATAAGGCATGTCCATATTTTTAAGGGGAAAGGCTGAGGCTGTGTATTATAATAAAGGATAAGATTAGCTATCCTTTATTGATTACTTAATATTTGCTCTGTACTGATCACTTTAGACACTATCTTCTGTAAATCCCATGACTATCCCATGAGGAGGGTACTATTTTCCTGACTTTATAGTTGAGGAAACAGGCTCAGAGAGCCCAAGGACATGTGCATCATAAGGGATGGAGTTAGCAATCTGTCATAAAATGGAGCAGGTAGAATGTGGGCCTTCAGAGAGGAAGAGCCGGCTCTGCTTTCTGCGGTGGGGGAGAGACCCAGGATTTCTTTATGAAGAAGGACCGTTTGAATCAGGACTCAAGGGTGGAGAGGATTCAAGGAACGTGGGGAGGAGTATATGGAAATGGATAATCAATTCTTTCTCTCTCCTTTGTCACCTTTTTCACTTAACGTGTGGCCCCTGGGTGGGAATATGGGTGATTCCACGTCCTTTAAGTCTCACTGTTGCTCTGGGGAGACACATGACTTCCACATGTGCCTGTAGTCAGGAAATGTTAAACTTGTCGGCCGCTGAGTTTTGAGTAATCAGAAGGGAGGAGAATTAGTAGGGGCCGGAACAGTAGGGGAGGAGGCTTTGGGAGGAGATGGAAATTCAGATGGTCCTTGAACATCAATTCATCAGAAATCTGACCCGGAGAATTGGCCTGTTTGCAGAGCTTCGCTGTCAGACCAGTAAGCTACTAGTTGGAGAGGCTAGTAGGCCTGGATGGGCTGGACAGTGGGGATTAGGGGAGTGTTATGTAGATGGTCTCAGCGACTCCTTTGTGTGAGAATGTGACCTGGTTCAGTCTGGGGATGGGGACACAAGTGGGCGTCCTTGTTGGGCTACTGGACAGGTTTTCTCGGCAATAGCAGTGGGAGGAGAGGGAGAAGCTGCTACCATCCAGCACCAGGAAACATACATACAAGCCCTTATTCCAGGGAGTCGAGCATTGCCCCCTCCCTCAGTCTCCTGTCAGGCTTCTAATCATCCACCTGCTCCACGTATCTCCTGCCCCTGGCTGTACCCTGATGCCCTTCGATGCTCAGTGTCCTCAGATTTCACCCAAGTATGAGTATTTGGGTGGGGCACCCTAGTATGGTTGGATCTGGGTCCCTGGGAATGTGTATGGTAGCTAAGAGGGACAGCACTACGAGGAGCGAAGGTGAGGAGATGTCCTCAGGTCAGATTGGACAAGCCACCAACACTTAGAATCTTCTTATATAGGACGGTCAGGGAGGGTTTCAGTAAGCCCAGGCTTAGATTTAGGGGTGTTGCTTTTGAGGGGATGGTGAGATGACCAAGTGGAGCCACTTGGAGCCTCGGTATATTCTGTCCTTCTGTCACAAAGCTAAGAAATTTACAAGTGGCCTCCCAGGTGCTGGCCCCTGACTGTCCTCATTGCAGGGCCATTGGGGAGGAGGGGAGTGTTATGAAGGTGGTCTCAGTGACTCCCTGTTGAGGAACGTGCAGAAGGCCCACGTAGGCTGACCCCTACACCAGAAATGTAACCCCTTTCAGGTCAATAGCTTGTCTGCAAATACTCACTGAGGCTGTGTCAGTGCTGGCCACTGCCTGCGGTGGCAACAGCACAGGTATGTCCTGTCTCTTTCGGCTGTTGCCTGTTGGGTCTGATCCCCTAGAGGTGTGATGTCATAGCCCTTGGCTGTCATATTTATTTTAGGGGGAAGAAATGTATGTTTCTTTTTATTATGCTTTCTGTAATTTTATCTTTTATTAATTTGACAGATAAAGCCACAGACCCAAGCATGTCAGAACAGGATTGGTCAGCTATCCAGAATTTCTGTGACCAGGTGAACACTGATCCCAATGGGTAAGGTGACCTTCACACTGGACTCTGGGGCCCCTCAAATCAAGTGCATGCCATTTTGTCTTGGGACTGTTACAACAGTTAGTCTTTCTTTTTTCTTCTCCACAATTTACTGAGAACATTTTTTTTAGAGATAGCTCATTCACATGTTTTGTTTTTTTAAACAAATGAATAGTGAGTTTGTAACTGGCAGTTATTTAAAAAATTTTTAAATGGCATTAAGAAACACTCGTACTCAGGAGACCTGAATGTTATGGATAGAAGGTAGCAGTGTGAAAGAGCTTGGTGTACTCGCCATAATTTAAATGTAACCTTTCTTTAGAAGAATGAGGAAAAGGGCAAGATTGTGTTGAATTCTGTTTCCAAAGCACCTGGATAGGAGCTGAAGAATCCAGATGTTTAATCTGAGTATTTCTGACTATTTAGCATTTGGAAATGGGCAGACAGTTTGATCATATTGTCTAGTGTTTATTGGACAACAGACGAGGTCTGTGCTACTCATGACCCGGCTACCATAGGCCTGGGCCTGACTGCTCAGCTTGGAGCTTTGAAGTGGGTGGGCTGGGGAGGTTGGTGTGTCTGGACAGCAGTAGCTGGAGGAAGGGTAGGTGGGGGTTGGAACCCTTCAGAGGCTTGTGCATGGGCTGTGTGCCAGTCACATTCCACGTCTTCTGTGGGACCGAACTCCTGGACGGGAGGTGGCTTTATGGAGCATGCTTAGCCAGATTGTCCACCCAGAGCCCAGTGTCTTTGTTTTCTCTTAGCCCAACCCATGCGCCCTGGCTGCTGGCCCACAAGATCCAATCTCCACAAGAGAAAGAAGCTCTTTATGCCTTAACGGTGAGTTTGGCCTTTAGCCTTACTTCTGCCCTGAGCCAGAGAGAGCTGGACCTACTCCCATTTTGGTGTGGCAGGGAGCCTCAGAGGAGCATCCTTACTGGCCTCAGAGAGGCTGGGCTCCGATTGCCCATCCTAGGTCTGCTTCTGGAGAGCTGTGCCGAGCCTGCTTTGGGAGGAAGAAAAAGGTTTTATTTCCTTAGTTCTTTATAGACCAGAGCTGACAAATTAAGTCCTACAGGGCCAGATTGGTGACACAGTGAGTGAGCATTGAGTGAGGACCAGAATTCTGCAGAGCACTCGCTCAGTCAGTAGAGGGTGACTGCAGTGTAGCCTTGGCTGACAATTGCCAGCCGTGAGTTTGGGCCCATAGTTGCTAGAACTTCCTGCTGGGGACTTGTGGCTTAGCATTTCGTGGGCCTTACATACTGGATGTCACCTCTGAGAAGGAGGGATTCACCTGCCCAAAGGTTCTTCTTAAAAGGTTGGGTGACCTCAGGGTACACACCCCACTGAGCTGTTTGCTGGGCACAAACCTGTCAGATACAGCAAGATCAAATAGGTGCTTTTAAAAAATCTGAAAATGTTACCCTTTCTCCCAAACTCCAGTGTCCTCATAGACCTGAGTAAACACTAGCTCTGGTTCCAGCAAATGCTCAGATTTCAGGCGAGCCTGGAGCCAGTGGTTTTCTCGTTCTTGTGGGAGTCCTGTGTCTGTGCAGGTGCTGGAGATGTGTGTGAACCACTGCGGAGAGAAGTTCCATAGTGAGGTGGCCAAGTTCCGCTTCCTGAATGAGCTGATCAAAGTGCTATCCCCAAAGGTGAGTGCCCTGGTCTTGGCCCTGCTTACTGTACTGCGCCTGGCCCAGCCTTCAGACCCATGCCACCTGCTTGTGTCCAGAGGCAGGCCTGTTCCTGGACAGACACTGCAGCCTGTCTTAGGCTTGTGAGGGAGTCAAGAGAGGAGGCCCTGTATGGGACAGCTTTCTTCTCCAAGGTCTAGGACAACCTTGCTGATTCCTGTCCTCCATTGTTAGCATCATTAAATGATTCTCCCTTTAAAATTGGCCTGTGGCCCAGCCTGAGTGGCTTGGTTGGTTTAGCGTCGTCCTGTGCACCAAAACATTGCCAGTTCGATTCTTGGTCAGGGCACATAGCTGGGTTGCAGGTTCAGTCCAGGTTGGGGAAGGCAACAGATCGATGTTTCTCTCTCTTTCCCTCTTCTCTCTCTAAAGTCAATTAAAATTTATTTATTTATTTATTGATTGATTGATTGATTGATGGCCTTGTGGATGGGCGGCCTAGAAGGGGAGAGGAACTCTAGCTTGGAGCACAGGTTTCCTAATAGATAGCAAGAGATGCCAGGTGTAGCCCAGCCGGTGTTGGCCAGTGGTTGAGCGTTTCCCATGCACTAAGAGGTCACTGGTTCAATTCCTGGTCAGGGCACACACCCAGGTTTTAGGCTCCGTTCCCAGTCCGGCGGGGCGGGGCATGTAGGAGGCAGCCAATCAATGTTTCTCTCTCATATTGATGTTTCTCTATCCTTCTCTGCCCCTCTCTCTAAAAAGAAATAAAAACATATTTTTTTTAAAAAGAGATATGTCAGGTATGGCTTTTAGTTTCATACCATTTCTTTTTTTTTTTTCATACCATTTCTTGCCTTGTCCTCTGCACCTTTCCTCCTGGCACCTGTCTGAGCTCTGTCATTCTCAGGTAACTGACATGGATGGAGCCTTTTCTTGTTGCTTCCCAACAACAGTTCTCTGATACCAACTGTGTGTCCTACAGTTTAATTTAGTTCAGTTCTGACACTACCCAGAGTTAGTGCAGACCCTACCTGTTCAGGCCTTAGACATATCTAGACGATGCCTAATTTAGACACCAGCTATTCATCTCCTTGCTCTTCTGCCTGACCGACTACACATTGGGGGTTTCCCATGACCACCTCCACAAGGTTCTGTAATTCACCACAGGAAAGCACTGTGTTGTTGTTATTATAAAGGATACAAATGGAAGAGATACCTAGGCCAGGGTCTTGGGGGGAAGGGGAGCAGAGCTTGCATGCCTTTCCTTATGGTATCCAGGCACCGCACCCTCCTAGCACATCCATGCATTCAATCAGGAAGCTCTGTGAACCTTGTTTCAGAGTTTTTACCTGGGGTTCTAGTATGCAGGCATGATTGATTGAATTTCTGGTCATGTGATTGAACTCACTCTCCAGCCCCTCTTCCCCTCTGGGGGTTGAATGAGGCTGATAGTTCCAACCCTCCAATCACATGGTTGGTCTTTCTGGCATAGTCAACTCCTCCCTTGAAACTAAGTGCTCCCCCCCCCCCGGG